CTCTCTCTCTCTCTCTCTCTCTCTCTCTCTCTCTCTCTCTCTCTCTCTCTCTCTCTCTCGCTAACACATCTCTCGTCGCATCCTCACGCTAAGGCCCGGTCTACAATGAGTCGTTAGTCGTTAGTCAGAAGTCGCAACTATATGTTGATCCTTTTCCTTTCTGGGTGGAAGAAAAAGGACCGACATATAGTTCCGACTTCTGACTAACGACTAACAACTCATTGTAGACCGGGCGTAAGATTAAATTCTCTACACGCCTAAGCTACACATGAAAACACCCTATCTACATGAGCGCCCTTCGCGCTCGCGACTCGTTGGACCGATCCGGAAACCATCTGCTGGATAATGCAGGATTCACACTGGATCCGATATCCGACGTACGACGTTCAATATTTAATACGATTGGTTTTTACTTTTGGTTCCTTGTTGGATCTAAAAGGATCTAAAAGGATCTAAAAGGTACCAGTGTGAATCCTGCATAATGACCGTTTCCCGTCGCGGTGCCGATCGCACGATCGGTCCCACGGGCCGTCCCGGGAGCCGGTGCTAATCGTTAAAATTACTCTAGGAATGCTTAGGGCCACTTATGAGTAGTATGGTACAGTATACGTCTTAAGGAGTTACGCTTCTCTCCGACACGAGGTACGCCTTTCTTCCGCCGGGGACGGATTGCCGACACGCGTCGATGAGGAAGTTGCAACGATTGAGAAGGAGAATCGCATCACTTCTCGCTTTCATCTGGTTGTCCGTCGAGCGCCTGTGCTCTTTGATATTCGCGGTTTTCCAGAGACCATCGGTGTTTTGATTATTGGAAAAAATTAATAAAAAGTTAAATTTACACCGCAAGTCTTGCTGTTTTTTCTTTGATTTGTCTTTCAATTTAAACATCTATTTAAAATATAATAAACTCTGTATTATTCGTTCAGATATTCACTCTGAACAAAATTACGCATTAAAGAAAGTCCTATATGTCATTATATACGTATATATACCCGTAAAAATATTATAAACACTACTTCTTTTGATTTTATTTAATTACGACTCCACAAAGATTATCGCAAACCTACGCTTCGTTCTTGATACTTACAATAATATATTGTATGTATAATTCAAGAATCAGCTTAAGATTCAGTTATTTTATCAACAATTTGTAATCAGGTCAAATATCAAATCAAATAATAGCTTTTACCTTCCTTGAAATTTGTATTATCACAATATACGCAACTTTTTCGATCTAGCGTAATGTTAATGCTAGACGATGCAAAGCAAATTCGATGTTCGTTTAATAATACCCCGACATTATATCCTTTTATATTCTACGTAACTACTCTTCTAGGAATAGATGAAAAACAATTGTTATTTATGCGATTCAATACGATGGTCCTAGCTCCGAAGTACGAATCTGTATGCATCATCTGATCGGGATCGAGTTGAGTCTCGGCAATCCATCCTTCGTCTCGATATGGGTAGAGCGGCCACATATTTCACGCGAGTCTAAAAAGGCTGGGGTGAAAGGATAGTTCGATTCTGATTGTGTGTGCCGTCAATTGATATGACTTAAACGTTGTACTTTTAATTATCGTCTACCTCTCTCGATGACGGATGATGAGAACATATGATTAACGCGGTTTCGTTGTAAAATTACGTCAAAAGGAACGAGCGGTTCGCGCTCAGGCAAACCCATATTCTGATGAACAGCTGTGTACAAATATTACGCGCTTGACGATCGTCTCTTGCACGCCCATCGCTCGATTTGTCCCTGTATGTAGCGTCTCTACCCATTTCTTCACGTAACAAATAAGTTAAAAGAGTTTATGATACACATATTAGCTTTGGTCTGAATCGAACATGAGTACATTCTACGGACAAACAGGCCACGAGAGAGCCTCGCTTGAAATTATGTTGTCGTCAATGTCGAGCGACACGGTGACAGGCGTTTGTGTTTTTCTTTTAATGTACACATGCCCGATTTAATCCAATCATGAACGCCGACGATGTTCGCGGAGCTCTGTTTCGGGTCCTGATTTCGCGTACGAGTTCACGTTTCCCTTGAACCAAACGATTTCGCACATTCAATTTACCGTCATGCGACTACGTACTTTGTTCTTAGGTTAATATTATCGCAAATGATATCGATACGCTCTTCGGTAAAAAGAAAATCAAATGCGTGACTAGATAAGATAAACGTCGAAGAATGGAAAGAATGAATATTGGAGAAGCAACGTATAACTTTATATAATACGTATAACAGGTTTTTAATTACACGTTTTGTCATTTAATATACTACCTGCAAACTATAAAGAATAGACGATAAAGAAGCTAATTTTCTTTGGTATAGAAACGATATTTGGCAAAGATTCATTGGGGCCGTTATATCCTAAACGCAAGCCTTCAAATTAATAATCGATTCTTCCAAGGAAGCGCGTCTATTTCTTGTTTCTTACAGCAACACGATAACGGTAAACAGATTTATGCGAATTTTCTCACGCACACCATGTACTAACGTAATGCATTATACTGTATGTACAACGTTCTTACAATAATCTTTTTTTTCTTTTCTCGGCGCATCCCGTCGGCCACGAAGAGTCCGCGGTGTAATCATTACATTAGGGCTTCTGTACACAAGCGGCACAAAAATGATCACTGATTGCGACGCGTTGTTTAGGTATTGCGCCGAAAAAGCTGCGACGGTGTCTCATTCGGGTTTATCTAGGTATTGCACACTTTGTTCCGACAACCGTACCGCACGATTTCGATGTTTAATCTGTCCAAACGCGTCTTACAATTAGTTGTATCCACGTTTCTCGCGTACAGAAACAAATATACGCGTATCTCATTCCCGTTATTTTAATTACTTGATAACAAATGCAAAGAAACCGCGCGGCATTATATTAAAATTGAAAAGGCTGCTACTTGAGCACTCAGGAAACTCTTTTGCTCTAATAAATTTTTTCATCTTTTCTATAACTTAAATAATTATAAAGTTCCTTAAAGTTTTTCTTATAAAGCAAAGTTTTTCTGATAAAAAGAATAGACGTTTTTTTTATAAATTATGCGTCGCTGAACAGATATCTGTGTTCGTTACTACTCACATGATTGTCGTCCGTTACTGCTTACGTTTGATTATAAAGCTATGTGACTACTTGCGACCCGACAGTTGTACGTAACTGCTCGTCAGTGTTGATCAGTAAATATAGAGGAAAGTCCTTTAATATGAGATAGACTTCTAATACGAGATAGCAGGTTTTCAATATACAATCAAACTTTTTTCGCGGCGATTTCCCACTAAACAAGATCTCACTCCAAGGGCAATAAATTCATGGTGGGACCAACAGACGATGTCTATTAATTTAGTAGAAACCGCGCTGTCTCACATCAGAAGCCTGTCTCATAGTAGAGGACTTTCCTCTAAATGTCCTTACTTCCTTTAAATTCAGTAGAAATTCGATAGAAATATATCTACGAATGACTCGTGTAATTAAATTTTTATAATTACCAGATGCATGTCGTAGGAAACGTATGCATACATGGTCTGGCATTTAAGGTTCGTCGACGAAAATTTAAATTCGAAAATGCAACTCACTCATTTAAATTAATGGTATCTCGCTCAAAGTAGGTTTCGCCCATACGTTATAAACATCGCGTACTTCCACATTTAGAAGCACTCTTGGTGCTCTTCTATTGAAATGTGTAGAGATATCAGTTGAAAGTTCTTTCAACTCAATAAATGTTTGTATCACTTTCAGACAGTACGCGCTATTGTTTCTTTCCTCTTTCCACGATTTCATAACTTCTTCATTTTTTAATTTATAAGAGACTCGAGATTGGGTTGCTACTTTTAAAGGTATCACTTGATACCCAGTGAAAACAGTGTAGTCAAAATGATGTTAATATGAACATCAAAATCGTTATTTGTCGTCATTGTATCAAGGAATTATTTCAACATGATAAAAAATTGACACTATCTGTATTGACGCTGTACACGATAAAAGATCATATGGAAAGGTGAAAATAGATGTCTAGATGATAATTGTAGTGTTATATAAGAGACGCTCAAACATATTATGTTTACGTTTACGTCAAAATGACTACATTATGACGAAACAATATTTATTGTCTTACTCGAAAGAAATCTCCGAAATAAAACGTTGTTTGGTAGCATGTATTGCAATTTCTGCATATTTTAAACGTTTGCAGTTTTCATAATCGCATTTATTTTGCTATACAAATTATTTTTATATTTTAACATATAAGTTTCTTCGATACTTCTTTCACTTGTTGCATATACATCCTTTATCTTGCGTTCGAACAATTCTTTCATAGAATATTTTACGATTTATATAAAGTCGTTATGTTAGATGACTCATCCTGTACATACATATATATGTATAGAATGAGTCATCTAACATAAGGACTTTATATATATAACGACTTTATATATATGTACATATATACAGGATGTTATGTAATACCCGCTTCACCTCTTATTACGGATAGAACAAACTAGACTGATTGTGAGTTGAAAAGTCCTCTACTATTTTGCAATTTTGCAAAAGTTAACGAGTTATTAATTATTAAAAATCGCTGTCTTAGCCCGGCCTAACGTCCAATTTAAACGCGCGGCGAGATGCGGCCGTCCCACGATCGGCGTTGCTAGGCGCGCGAGGAGTTGTTTATTATACGTAGCCGTTACCGTGTGTCAGATTTTCGAAGTTTATTTTTATGCCTTAAATGGCCAGAACTATTTCTTAAACCTGTCAAGAACTCTGAAACTATTGTAAATCTATACAGAACTCTTAAAAAAATAAAATTTTAAATAATGAGGAACTAACTTCACAGAGGTTGTGTCATAAAAAACCTCCGCGCGCCTAGCAACGCCAATCGCGGGACGGCCGCATCTCGTCGCGCGCTTGAATTGGGCGGTAGGCCGGGCTAAGACAGTGATTTTTAATAATTAACAACTCGTTAACTATTTCGAAACTTGCAGAATGGTGGAGGACTTTTCGACTTAGTCTAGTCCACTCTATCCGCAAATAAGAGGTGAGGCGAATATTACGTAACACCCTGTATATTCCTATTCAATATCATTTTGTTTTAGTTTTGCATTTATTCCCGTAGAGAGTAATTGTTTACTTTTGACATCAAACATCAAAATGACAGTCTAAATCAAGGCATGGAACATTTTGCAGTCAAATTATCATCATTTGGCCATTATTTTGACTACTCATATCTTTCATCAATTTGATAGCATTTTGACGTCACTTTGATTCGGCTGTTTTCACTGGGTATTTTCGGCGCGGTTAAGAGAGAACCTACCAAACCAAGCAAATTACTGAGCGTTATCGAACACTGTCGAGACGAGATTATTATACGTTGAAAGTGTAGCAGACACAACATTGCTTGCATATTTAATCATGCTTTTCCAAGTACAGAGGGGAAAGAAGGCAACATAACCTAATCGTCGGACCAGCTTCTGCGCTACTCGCATTCATTTTAGGTCGTTAGACGATGCGACAGTTGCTTTGAAATCCGTCACAGAGGGATAATGTTGCAAGCAAGTATGTTACGCGGTACGGACAGATTCGTGCAAATACCTGAAACAATGTGCAGCCGAGCCTGCGGGGGCGGGATAAGGGGCCGAGTGGTGCGCAATTTACGATTTCATGCGCCGCCGACGGCGGTGGTGACGGCGACGGTGGCGGATGCGGCTCCGTACTTTTTCTTTTTTTTTCAGTAGAAACGTTTTAACGCGGTGTGCCCAGGGCACCCCAGTGCTCGGCGGCGGGTCATGCATAATGTGGATAGGTGCCGAGATGAGGTGGCACGTGTCCGGAGGCCGTGTGATGGCCGGCGTACAAGTTGGCGCCCGGGCTCGTCGACCAGTAGCTCGATGCCGATTGGAAGAGGCCGCCGGGAACGGAAACCGAGACCGACGCCGCCGGCGGTGGCATTAGGTTCAGCTTGGCGTGGCCGTAACCGGACATGAACAGCTCGCTCTGGTATTTGTATGCCGCCGGATCGGCCGCCGCCGGCTGCGTTGCGGCTGCCAGCCCCTGGAAATCGAACTTGTACGCGTACCTCTTGCCGTGCACCTTCGTCATGATGTTCTTGTCATAGTAGTACCTGCAAACAAACCGGGCGCGCTATTCAGACTTTACGTCGGGCTCTGAACGGTGGGCGGATCTACGTTTTCAGGGGTTCGAAGGCTAATAATCGTGTGGATTTTTCTTTCAGAAAATTTGTCTCAAAAACTATTTGACATCCAGAACACCCTAGCCCTTTTTCGTCTTGTCATCTTATTTGACATCCTCAAGGTCTTGATTTGTATTTTAATATTATTTCATACGAACAAATACGATAATAAACCATGTACAAATTATAAGTGATTCGAAAGACAGTTTGTTATTTGATCGCTGTTCTCGAAATCGCGTATAAATATCGCGTACGCGTTATATTGTATATACAGGGTGTACTAAAACCACCGGATATTCTTTCCATCATAAATTCTTTAGAAACTTTCAAGATGAAAATTCTAATACAAAAATGTCGAGGCTATAATAGTTTTTAAATAACAAGCGATTATATTTCACAAATGAGAGACCTGAGATTTTGCGCGCTCAGGCACGGCGACATGACAAGTGATAAAAGTGTTCCTATGAATGTCACCCGATATTGAACGACCACTTTGACAGCTGCAACATTTTGAAGATACAAAATGTTCCAAATTTTTACTTGAATTAAACGAAAAGGGGCGACATTCACAGAAACACTTTTATCACTTGTCATGTCGCGTACCTGAGCGCGCGAAATCACAGGCCTGCCATTTGTGAAATATAATCCCTTATTATTTAAAAGCTATTACAGCCTCAACATTTTTATATTAGAATTTTCGTCTTGAAATTTTCTAAAGAATTTACGATTAAAAAGATATCCGGTGGTTTTAGTACACCCTGCATATCTATTTTTTTTTTAATTGAATTGTGTACGACATCGTTTGTTAAATATTTCGTGATGAAAAGATATCGAGTCCCAAGCTCAACGTCTTCAACGCCGACATTGAAAATGAACGCTTGCCCGGGAGTTCTTACACGATGACTAGAGGGATGTCAAAAAGAGCAATCGCGTAATATAATCAGTGGATCTGATGGAAAAATAATAGCCGCGTCTACCGTCGGTCTGACTGTCGGTGATTGAAATTTCTCCCTCGTCCACCGCCTCCCCGAGTCCCGGAGACACCGACACATGCACACGTGCGCGCGAACCAGCGTGGAACATCCGAACGTTCATGCGTCGAACGAATTTACTTTCACCCCGAAACTTCGTCAAAACATAAATGATGGCCCGTTAATGGCTTTTCCATTTGACACTCTCGAAAAACGCGCCGCTGCGGCCGTCCGTCGCGAAACGCGGACGCGGCGAGTCGGCGTGGCGCGGCGGCAGAGCTCGCGGCTACCCCGAAACTCACCTCAGAGCCCTCGACAATTTGTCGTAATTCATATTAGGCTTGGATTTCCTCTCGCCCCATCGTCTCGCCACCTCGTCGGGGTCGGTCAACTTGAATTCACCGTTGGTTCCTTCCCACGTGATGCACGCGGCGTTACTCGAGTCCGACAGGAGCTCGAGTAGAAACTGCCAGAGCTGTATCTGTCCGGAACCAGAGCTCGCGAGCCGACTACTCGTCGCCCCGAACATTTGGTAGGGATCTGCGGGGCACAACAAAGTCGGTGCTTCACAAGTTTCGCATTTAATTTCGTTATGTCGCTCAACATATACTCGTATAGAAGGTAATTTCACTCTCAACCACGGTCAAATTTATCATCAGCATGGACATTGTTGAAATTGCTCCCCCTCTCCCCTCTCAGGATACTCTATATCGCTAGTTTGTCAATTAAATCCGTAAGAACACGTTCAGCAAAATGTTTGCGTGATCCGTAGCTCCGTTTTCGCCCTGCGAATGAAGCGCGAATGATGAAATTTTTCGCAGTTTCACGTAGGATATGCCTATCCATTACACGGTTGTTTTTCAAGAGCTCCCGTATCACCCTTTAAAAACCTTACAATGCGTCATCACCGACGCTCACGACCGCTCAGACATGAAGGGCTCTACAGCCCATACAAAAGAACATAATCGCAACCCTACAATAGAATAGAGAATTCATTTGGATCACAATAATTTCAATTTGAAAAACTGTTGCCGAAGTAGCTCGAAAGGCGATGCGAGTCTTCTAAGCTTTTCAGAGGTTTAGACGAGCAACTCGATATATTGATTTTTATGGGTGTAGTATTGCAACGTGCAAAAGTACGTAACAGCTTGAAAGCTACAAACAATTTTTCTCAACATTAGCTACGGTTGAGATTTTGACTCTCTGAAATTGCTGAGAGATAATAAAAGTATCTCTTTTTGTAAATTGCATACGTAGATAGAGGAAGGTCCCCTATTATGAGATAGGCTCCTTGTATAAGATAGTGGGATTTCTGCTAAATTAATAGGCGTCATCTGTTGGTTCCGTCGTGTATTTATTGTCCTTGAAATGAAATCCATTTAGTGAAAGATTCATTGTTAGATCGTGTAATCGTTACGGAACAAGATTTGGGATTGAATTTGGATGTTGAAAACTTGCTATCTCATATTTAGAGATAGCCTACCTCATAATAAGGGACTTTCCTCTCTTAAAGTACATTCGCACATAATTTTTTACTTTACGTAAAAAGGAAATGAAGATAATTTACCAATTTATAGACAGTAATTGTAAATCAAGACTTGATGATTGAGATTGTACAATTTAACAATGGGCCTAATTAACTCACGTAAGGGTACCTCGCAATTTGTCGCGGAGAAAAAACGTCATGGACTTTCTAACGAGTAAGTTAAACGCCCCGATTTAATGATCATGACAGTCTCTCTGAAAGAGCAAAGAGGAACTCGAACGCGAGAACTCCAAGACGAGCCCCATAAAAATACAAGTCGAGCGATTATGAAAGGGGGACAGACGCGGATGATGGGGACGGATTCGGAATTGCCGGACCTCAAAGGTCGTTTCGCTCGATGAATTCGCTGAATGCGTGCCGGAGTGATCGCCTTTCGATCGAACGGTAATTCACTTACAAGTTAATAATGGGAAGGGGCGCGGTACACCCATTTATCTGCCGGGAACGAGGGAACTGACGGGAGAAATACGGGGATACGACTACGCCCATGGATTCGAATCTCTTTTCTCATCGCGACTCGAAACTCCGTGGAATCGATGACGCGCGAAGTAACAGTGACCTTGTTTGATTATCGCGTAGATACCAAAGTCCCCTTTTCAGGTGAAAAGGGACCTTGTATTCCCAGTCCTAGATTTGCGCCATTTTGAATCATCGGTTTAATTTGTAATTCAGAACTAGAGAACTCTATGCATAATTTATCGTAGTATAGAAAACATATGCAGAACATTAAATCTGTAAATACAAAAAGTATCTATATACCTTTATTGTCTATAATTTGTATTTACGGATTATACATATACAGGGCGGACCATTTTAATCCGTACACGGTAATATCTCCTCAGGTAGGGTTGATAACGGAAAATGACTCAGACAAAAGTTGTTGGGTTTCGAGAGGGACATAAGATAGTGTCATTAATTTAACCTTGAATAGTTGCTTGAAGGTTACGTGAAGGTCACCTTCAATTTTGTTAATGGAACCTCCTATTGTTTATTATACCATCTTCTTCTACTGATAAATATGAACAACTTATGTCCGAAACATTTTTCATTTGCCTAATACTTTTTGAGATATTCAAGAGAAAATTCGTAACTTTTTCAATATTTAGCTTATGATATCTCGAAAACTGTTTGTCGGAGGAAAAAGCAGTACAGGACTTTTTGACTTGATTTGATCTCAGGAATATGCTGTTGCAATAGTGCTCCAATTATTGAACATTTTTGTGTATGTTACAATAAAAGAATTACAAGCGCAAAAACTATATTTGACTGTGTCGGTAAAAAAGATGTCTGAAGGATCCCCTTAAAAGTTTCATATCTTGGAAACACTTGTGTCGAACTTTATCTCAGAGATCGATATTTTTAGATTAATAATTTTTTATCAACAGATAACTCCCGAAAATAGACATTTTAATTGGTTATTAATTAATAATTAAATCGGTCAGCTGGAAAAATACCTCTAACGAAAATTCATTTAAATTGGGTTAAGTGTGAGAGAATGCTTTAACTTCTCAAAAATATCTACCTACTACATACCAGGCTGCCTGAGATGGCTGTGCGTGTCCAGTGCTGTCTTTGATAAGCTGCTTCCATAGCCTGAAACATAATATTTTGCATCCATGCATTACTTCCCATCAAAAGTTTACAGGAAGAAATATATTTAATTTACAATCTGTCAACGAGTGATCTTTTTGTTCTAAAGATACTTTTCTAAAGACGGCGCGATTCATTTGAATCTCGGCCTGAGCCGTAGTTTTCATTCGTTCACGGACGCATAATTATCTGTCGAAGGAGACGCCAGATAATTTCCGAACACTTTCGTGTAACCTCGATGTCATTCGCGGTGGCTCGAGGATACTTCGATCGCAGAGCGAGACGGCACGCGGGGAAAGTCGTCGGTCCGAAGATGAAAAAGCGCACACTCGGTCGAGCGTTAGAATCCGTTAGAGAGGATTTCCGTGTAGGCAAACACACGGGTGCTCTGAGTGTGCTACGTGTACGTTTCTCTCCCCGTTCGTTCTCGTCGCCGTTGTCGTCCCCGTCGTGGCGTAGGCCTCCTCTTCTCCGTCTTATCGCACGAATTCTCTCTTCGCGCGCGAGCGTTTTTCGCCCGATAGCCTGGAGGTCACGTTCACGCACGGACGTGTGCAATCTGTTTAAGGGCACAATGCCCCTTAATTTCGGCTCGTTACACGCCCGCGGACGACAGCCTGCGAAGGTCAGTCGGTTGGCTCTGCGTCACTCGAAAATCGCGATTGTTTCCAAATTGGCTCGAGGACCGTCAACGCGCATTTTATTTATGCACTTTCAACGGTTTACTTCTGCACTTACGGCTCAATAATCCTCAATAATAAAAGCTGTAGGCATGAAATTTACGCGATCTTTTGAAAATGTTTTATTAGTTGTTGTGAATCTTTTTGCAAATGCAGTATACTTTATTATACGTGTTGCATTTTTCATCCATGTGACAAAGAGTTAGTAAGTAGTCTCTGAAATTATATTAGCAATAGCGTGACGTTAATGCTCACATTTTGTAGCCAAACACTCGTTTGTACCCGAAGAACCTTGGTGAGCGAATTCAAGTGTTGCGGTGTTTAAAAGTACATATTTTAGCTGTTTCCTCGAATAGACATCGCGAACTAAGTGCGGAGAATTGTACGAAATATTCGTTCGCGTTTATATTCTCGTCAACGTGTGCCGATTTGCGAAGATCAATGCGAACGGTGTTTCCCCCATGACGACAACATTTTCGACAACCATTTCCTCGATAGAGCATCGTCACGTCGGAATGTAGCGAGCCCCATGGGGCAGATGCTGCCTTTAAATAGCAGTCGGTGTCCGCTGTGTTAAACAATCTGATTTCGCCTCTGATTGGGAAGCGGGTACCGTCCTTGGACGAGGGTTTCGGCCGGCCGGGGACGGCGTACCCGGGTCTGCACGGGTCGTAGGGTCCGCCGCAATCAGTGTAGCCGCGGGGGCTTCGAGCCGTCGCGCGCGCTCGCCCCGCTAACGCAAACTCCGATACCGCGATCCCATCGCCAGCGTCCCATGTACAGCGGGTGTCATCGACAATAGCTTCATAGAATTCACATCACAGATTATAGGCGCACAGATGAATGCTGTCGAATCACCTACACCCGTTAGCCGGTTATCGTACTCGAGTATTGTAACACGACTATTCTTATTAGTACGAAGTTTCTCGTATTTGATCCTTATTTACGATTTTTTAATCAATTTGAGGTCGATTTTTCTCGATGAAAATATTGAGATATCAAAACTTGATGAAAAGTTGAAAAAAAACTCTTCGAGGTACTTCAAGCTTTCAAAACGATTTTTGAAATACTAATTGTAAGTGTAAACAGATTCTGTTTCTTGTTCAATAAATTTTACTCTTGGCCTCTACCTCTGTGTTTATTCGAGAATTATTTTCTGTTTCCATATTTAACGATAGATATGGCAAGCTTACAACAAATATTCGTCTCCTTACGATATTTTTACTAAAAGAATTTCAATTGCGGATCTTTTCATATTCAGTTTGCGAATAAAGAACAAGCTATTCTAGACAATATTTTAGAAATGTAGACAGTAATATAGACAGTAAATCGTTATTCCAGTCATAAGGCACTAACGCAAACTGGAATTTGCAATTAAACTTATAAACACTAACAAACGTACATACTTTGTTTGTTTGACCGAATAAAGGTGTCCAGGGAACGGGGATACTTAAGGAGATGCTGGAGTGATTCTGTACTTTTGCACCTTTCTAACCTAAAAACTGTCAGTTCGCGGAAACATTTGTGTAATATACAAATTAAATGGCTTACGTGTACAGATCGAAAGCAGCTCGCTATTCCGGCCAAATGAAATAATGGCATCACTGAAACTAAGTTTGTAAGTCTAATAAGAAACGATAGTGAGCCACACATACATACAGTACATGTAGTATGTGTGTTGCTCACTATTATTTTTTATTAGACTTACAAACTTAGTTTCAGTGATGTCATATTGTTCTTTAATTTAGCCGGAATAGCGAGCTGCTTTCGATCAACTGTACACGTGCCATTTTATAATATTTGTATATTACGCAAATCTTTACACGAAACAGACAGTTTTAAGTGCAAAAGGTGCGAAAGTGCAGAATCACTCCAGCGTCCCCTTAAAATCGCATTTCGTTAGTTCTGTGTACAGCCGACAATCCGAATCGGCGCGCAGTTCTGGCAGAAAAATAACCGCGAGGATGTCATCAGTAGTACTGTTTATTGCGATAAATATTACCACGTGCCTCGGTGGTCGAATTGGTGAGACGTCCGCCTAGAGTGTAGGTAGGTCCAGGTTCAAACCCTGGCCGAGGTATTATTTTTTGCAATGAATTTCCTTAATTAGAATTTGCCAGCCGTGGGTCGTCATGCAATTTTCTACATTAGTATACTTTGCTTCTTTAAACAGTCGCCTCTTCGTAACAAATGCGTCATCGAGAATCAGCGGGGGAGTAATCTAAGCGAAAATGTTTGTTGAGCATTGTTTTTACAAATCGATCTGGCGTATTGTATCGCCGTTCGTTTCGCGTCACCTCGAATCGGCGAACGCGCGCCCATTGTCGCGAGTATATCTGCGCATTCACGAGCAATTACGCAGGGCGGGGTAATCCCGTTAGGCGACATACAGCCTCTTCGAGGGAGGATCAAAGAACTCGTCGTCATTCCGTGCTGCTGCACTCTTTGGTAGCCTCGGACGCGTACAATGCCACACTCAGTGTCGCGACGCTGAAAAGAAGAGGGGAACCCCGGCGCGACTTTGGAGAAACTTTGGGCGCGTTCCAGCAAACACACCGACGCGGTCGAGACGAAATCCTCTCTCGTTTGTTCGGTCATTCCTGTCGTATCGTTCCGCCACGCTAATTTTGAGATGTCGCTAACCAGAACTATCGGAGTCGCGTCCAAATCGCACGGATATTTTAAAACTACATCTCACGAGGGTGGAATAAGGATTCGAACATTTCATGGTATTGACACGTAATTGACTCTCTCATCCATGTCATAAAACACGGATGGGCACCGTCTGACTTGCTTCGTATTCACAATTGAAGGCAACGGTTTCGTTCAGGACTCACTCGGAGGTTTGAGAAGCAGGAACACGTTCACAGAGTTTTAACAAAATTACATACGGTTTTTCATTTTCATTAATTGTACAGAATCTTTTACTTCTATGTTCATTAACTGCGGAATTTTATCAGCAATTATTTTGTATCCAATCACATCAAATTTACACGCTCCTCGAAATTTTATATGAATTTGCGCCGATGATGACACTGTGATGTCGAAACGTTCACCCTTGATTTTTCAATATATGTAGGTATTATTATTCCATCTTTCAAATTGCTCGTTTTTGTTCTTATTTATTGGCCTGTTTTTAATCTTATTAATTGTCTCATGGTATTACTTCAAAGCTTCGTTAATGTTTGTCTCGATGAAAATAGAGCATCTAATGCCATTTTTATTATTATAATTGACAAAAGAACATTTTAGTTTAAGTCACAATCACATGGAGCACCCTTGATATTAAATTCTGATTCTTTATTTAACAACAAACTATAATTAACAATTAACTTGAGTTTTGTCCGTAATTTTATTATGTATTTACATACTCGAGTCGAAATTTTGGTACTATTTTGACACTTTTAAAGATAATTTGGTAAATATATCGATGAAGGAAGCCA